TTGATTTTAGTAACAGTATTATTCATGAAGCCCAAAGTTCAAAGGAAGAAACGAACACAAACTTGTCAACAAGTGTAAATTTGCATAAAGAACCAATGAATTTGCATAGAGTGCCTCATTCCTATATTCCTTTGGGAGACCCGAACAAAAACTATAATCCAGAGTTTGATATCGTTGCATTGAAATTTAAGCTGGAGAGCTTTGCTGAGAACGTCGACAGCAAATTTCAAGCTCTTACAAAAGAAGTGGCTGACATTAAAGAAAACAAAGTTTATTCGATTATAATTCTCGAGAACACTGTCCATGAATTAAAGAAAGAGAAATATGACCTAATCAAAGCTAACAACGACTTAAGAGAGAAGAACGAAGTATTACATCAAAAAATTTCGGATTTTAATTCGACAGTACAAAGATTGGAAGATGAGAAGCAGAGTCTAATCACAACCCTAAAGCTAGTTCAAAAGGAAACTCAAACTGTTCAGCCGGATTTAAATGACAGAATGCAAAACCTTGAAAATGAAAATAAGAGCTTATCAACGGCATTAACACTCTTGCAACACGAATTAGATAATACTCAACAACATAAATGGAAAGTTGTAAAGACGAAGCATAATAAACCACCCCCAGAGACCCCAGCAGGATCAAATACTATTGAAACAAAAAATCAATATACAACCCTTAGGGTCACTGATTCTGAACATGACGATATTCCAGCAAGACTGAATACCCAACAGATTCTAGATGAAACTTCGAATACAACCAAACACAGCAACATACAGATGGTTGGAAAAAGCAGTGGTCCATCAAATTCTAATGAGTCAAGTCGTGACTCACAACGCAGTCAACCTAGAATAGCTATCCTCGGAGATTCGATGATTAAACATTTGGACACCAAACGAATGCAGAATGGATTGAAGAAAGGAAAAGTAACGATTAAGACATTTCCTGGTGCAGGTATTGACCAAATGAAGCATTATGCAGTACCAACTCTAATTACCAAGCCAAAGACACTTATATTTCATGTTGGAACCAACGACTTACATAACAAAACACCAGAAGATCTAATAAATGCAATGAATGATCTTGGTGAAACGATCCATAGACAGAACAACGATCTGGAACTTATATGGTCGGAAATAATAACTCGAACTGATGATCCAAACTTAGCAGAAAAGGTAAATGTAGTCAATGCCGAGCTCGCTAAATTATGTACAGATAAGGGCTTATTAAACACAACAACATTAAAGGAAGTCTTTTAAATAACTCTGGTCTACATTTAAATAAACATGGAACTACTACATTAGCTAAAAACATAAGACAATTTCTTAGCAGCCATTGACTAGATCCTGAGTTTTCAAACACTACGGATCCTGATTCAACATTTTTGCATATCGTAGATCAAATAAACACACAGTCTAGTTCACGACAAACAATGCAAATAAACAGCACGCCTTATCCAAAACTGAAGGCTTTAAAATTGGCCATCTAAACGTTGCAAGTCTATATAAGCATGTTGATGAACTAAGAATTTTTATGAACGATAAAATGTTTGACATATTAAGTATCAATGAAACTAGACTTGACGGCACTATTGACAACAACGAAGTTAATATCACAGGTTATGATCTTGTTCGGAAAGACCGAAATCGAAATGGTGGGGGTGTCGCAATTTATATACGAAATGTTATTCCCTACACTATTTGCAATCACTTACTTTCAAGTACAGTAGAAGCTATTTGTATTGAAATTAACAAGCCTAACAGCAAACCTCTACTGATCTCAACATGGTATCGTCCTCCCGATGCCAAGATAGAATTACTTGTCCATTTTGAAAAATTTTTACAGAACATTGATGAAGAGGACAAAGATTTTGTTATAACTGGTGATTTTAATTGCAATTTTCTGTCAACTGAAAATAATAACCAACATACAAACAAATTGATTGAGTTAATAAATGAATACCAACTACAACAGCTAATCACTAGCCCGACAAGAATTACTCCTAGAACTAAAACTCTATTAGACATCATTATCACAAAAATAGGCGACACAAAAATCATTGAATCAGGGGTCATTCACCTCGGAATTAGTGATCACAGCCTGGTTTATGCATGCAGAAAGGTTAGCATTCCAAAAGCAAAACCAAAAGTAGTAGAAACAAGACAATTCAAGCACTTTAACATTAACAATTTCCAGCAAGACCTTAACCAAGCACTTAACTCAACTTTATTTTACAATTGCACTGATGCAAATACTGCCTGGTGCACATGGAAGGAAATATTTTTGGAAATTAAGAATATGAGCTATCATAGAGATTTTCTAAAGAGAAAAGCAATTAAACATAATTCGACAAGATATCATGAACTATACAAGAATTGCAGAAATCGTGTTAACAATCTTATTAAAGATACTAAAGCTATATACTTTAAGAACAAGCTAGAAAGTACTACGAACAGTAAGGAAGGATGGAGAACAATCAATTTACTATTGAACAAAAAATCTAAGTCCACATTAATTAACGAATTAAAAGTTGGGGATAGTATAGTTACTGGTGACAAAAATATTGCAACAGCATTCAACAATTATTTTTCTACAATTGGTGAAAAATTGAGTGAGAATTTATCTTGCAACAATACCGACCCTCTTAACTACGTGACACCAGTGACTGAGGTATTCGAGTTAAATAATATAACAATGGATGAATTAAGATGCGAGATATTTAAAGCAAAAGCCGGGAAATCAACAGGTTTGGATAAAATTTCAAACAAACTATTAAAAGCAGCCGGGGAGACCATTATCGGCTCCTTAAGTCAAATTTTTAATCTATCTATCGATACTGGAATTTTTCCAGACGATTTGAAACACACTAAGGTAACCCCTCTTTACAAATCAGGGGACAAGATGGATTGCGATAATTACAGACCTATCTCAGTAACATCAGCAGTAGCAAAAATTTTTGAAAAGCTGGTCTCTAGGCAACTAAATAATTTTTTAGAATTTCACCAGATAGTATCCACAAATCAATCTGGATTTCGCACTCAACACTCCACAGAGACTGCACTCTTATATTCTGTAAATCAATGTCTTGTAAATATGGACCAGGGCCTTATTAATGGTCTACTGTTTCTTGATCTCAAAAAAGCATTTGACACTGTGGACCACAACATACTCATTTCAAAATTAGAGCTTTACGGAGTACGAGGGAAAGCATTACAATGGTTTATTTCATATCTGAGAGGGAGAAAGCAAGTTTGCAAAATTAATCACGAAATATCAGATAGAGCTACAATTACTTGCGGAGTCCCTCAGGGTTCAAATCTAGGACCACTGCTTTTCTTACTTTACATCAATGACTTACCAAATTGCTTAAGGTCTACAAAAGCATCAATGTTTGCAGATGACACTAATATATCCTGTGACGGAAAATTAGCAACTGACATTCAACAAAAAATTAACTCAGACTTGAACAGTGTTCATAATTGGCTATTAGCTAACAAACTAACTTTAAGTGCTGAGAAAACAGAATATATGGTTGTTGGTTCGAGACAAAGGCTTAATCAAATAAATTCAGATCCTGACATATTAATAGGAGATCATATGATAAAGAGAGTTTCTAACAAAAAATTCCTAGGAGTGGTTCTTGACGAACAACTTAATTGGCATAACCATATAGATAATCAATGTGCAAAAATTTCAAAAAACATTGCACTTTTGAGAAGAGCAAAAAGTTTTCTGACAGAAAATGCCCTTATTACAATGTACAATTCACTAGTCCTACCACATTTCACTTACTGCTCAACAGTTTGGCACAACGGAAATATCACCCACATTGACAAATTAAGTAAATTACAAAAAAGAGCAGCACGTGTTATCACTAACTCAGGGTATGAAATAAGATCAACAGAGATCTTAAATAGATTGAATTGGGAGCCCATTGCAAATATCCTCGAACAACGTGAACAAACAATGACATTTAAAGCAATTAACAAAATGACACCAAAATATTTAACAGAAATGTTTACTATGTCCCAGAACGATAATTATGCATTGAGAAGTAACGAACGAAAACTTCACTTATCAAAACCAAACACTAACTTCCTTAAGAAAAGTTTTTCCTACCGCGCAGCAGTGTCATGGAATAAACTTCCAAACGAAATTCTCGAGGAACATGAGCATCTTTCATTGAATCAGTTCAAAAGGCTTATTAAAAATTGCTAAGATAGCGAAATTTTCCCGAAATTTTATCGAATGTTTACTTGCATTGTAAGGTCGTTTGCATGTTATACTTCAATTTGAATTAATGTTAGTGTGTTATACTTTAGGTTTAGATTTAGTTTTATATCTTTTTAATAGTTTTAGACCACGGCCCTTTGAAAAACAGGCAACTGAAAGGTTACCGTGGATAAATATGTTTAAATAATAACATAAGGTAATTTTCTACTATTTTTTTCGGTCGGCTATTGGCGATGCTTCCGCGAGGAATATGTCATCTTCTGCTGACATACTCTTTTTTTATTAATATATATGTGAACTTCAAAATTTCCAACGTTTCTCAAAACAACATTTTTTTGAATGAAATATTGATCATTTTAGCGCGTATTTCTTGAAATTTGAGTGTTTTCAAATGCAAAGAAGGCGTAATAATATAAACGGTATTACGAATATATAGACTGCTGTTTGTATCAAATTGTTTTCTTTTTTAAACTCTGCAAAGATAAAAACTATCGATTTTTTCCATGATGTTTACAGAGAAACGTCACAGCTGCCAACCCCCCCACCCCCAAACGAACATATGACGTTTCTCGTGAAAAAAATCGATATGTGAGGCTTCCCTAAGCATAGAGTTTTTTTAAACAAATCCATCAAAAACAGCAAAGATACACAACAATTACTGATGTCTCATTATATATGTAATTGAGTCATTGACGTCACATGGTTACAAACAAAAGGAAATATCTCAAGAATTAAGCATGGGAACAAAAATCTTCAAAACAAGTTACTACACAGTTTTATTAAGAGCATTTTAAGAAAATAAGAAAATAAAAATTTTGGCGCGAGTGCCACTTAAGCATTGCGATTGGATGAAAGTGCTAATGCATGCACTCGCAACGAGCTGCGAGGAGCTTCGTGCGAGGACTGGAATTGCGCCCTAAGGCACCTACGCTTGGACGACGCAATGACGGCGGCTATATTACCGCATGCAATGAAATAATCATATATAGCAAAAGAAATTAATATTTTATAGCCTCTGTACGGGAATTTCAAACGTTTCCAGGTTCTGTTGACAGTAGTAAATCAAGACGTCGTTGTCGTCCTCTATTCGTAAACTTCCTCTTTAAAACCGTTGTAAAGCAGACCATGTAGTTTTAAGCAAACTGCGGCATGAAGTCATGAACGGAAATTTTGTACAATGACAAAAAATATTGGAAAGTTTCAGTGTGAACGATGAATACATTTTGTACTCATGAATAGACCTTTCCCCTTTTAAGTGAAATTTTGATCTAGACAAGCTTGGACAAAAATTTCATCACAGCTTGAAAGAGCATCACAAAATTAGTACTACTCCGAAGTTTCGTTGCAAAATATTGTAAAATGCGGATAATGTAGCCTTGCGAAGTTTGCCGTTTTTCAGTCATTTTGTATTACAAACGGGAAATTGATAATCAGTTTGATCATCTGATATAATATATTTTTTTATTATTTCATTTTAAAGAACTTTTAAAATTATATGTAAATCTCTTTTACCGATTTTGCGTAACTTTATTATTTCTTGAGATATTTGAACAGAAAAAAATCACAAATCAGCGAGCTTTCCGCCATCTTGGATTTTGGCGGATATGCATGTGACATCATAAGCAGGGTCACGCAAGAATTTTATCCATAGAGCAATTGGTTATTATGAGCCCAAAATCATATACTTCAGTAACTATTTGAAATAAAAAGCTGTCTGACGACTTTTCAAACAAGACTTAATGTTATTTGGTCATTTAGATGTAGTTTTATATGGCTAACCCTGCTTATGATGTCACTAAAATCACCGAGAATCAGATAAAAATTAATCCAAGATGGCGCGGACAGCAAATTATTTTAAGTCAAAATATTTCAAGAAATAATAAAGTTACGCAAAATCGGTAAAGGAGATTAACATATAATTTTAAAAGTTCTTTAAAATGAAATAATAAAAACATATATTGCCATATCCCTTTAAGACTTTTTTAGGTTTTCAGTTATATATTTGTAACATTCCCTGATATCGTAGTTAATAGAATAGATCGATGGTTTGGAAACTCATTAGAATAACAATATTACTCACTATCTATGTTAGTCAACGTTTATTCACAAATCTGGTCGTTCACCGTCACGTGTGTATTGTATTTTTGCCAAATCCACCAATAGCAATTTCCAATTTACCCCATTGTTCGAGTCACGGATAGGTAACTTTACTAAGGCCTACTAAGACATTGCTATTGGTTGGTTGGGCAAAAATAAAATACACACGTGCATGACGGTGAACGACCAGATTTATGAATAAACGTTGACTAACATAGATAATGAGTTATATTGTTATTCTATAATGAGTTTCCAAACCATCTATTCTATTAATTATGCTGATATGACGCGAATTCTAAGCAATGCGCTGTCGAAGACAACAAAAAATCTAAATAAAAAGACACTGTATAGCCGCAGTTCTTAGTTCTGGGTGAAAAATATGTTAAAAATTAAAATCAACAGTAGTTTACCTAGTGTAACGTAAACAGATCTAAATTAATGGTATGGAAATAAAATGGAAATACACTAGGTATAATATTGTATAACAATTAAGAGTGATCTCTAATTTTTAATTTTTAAAAGGAAACATCAGTTCAAGAATTATTGTTCAAGGCGGTGCGTATAGATCCATGCCATTTGGTAAGAAAGAAGACTATAAGAGAGCAACAAAGGAATCTGCTAGGAAAGGATATGACATATTGATGGTAAGTGTTCGTTAAATAATGAATGTGATTTACCTTTTACCTTTTAAAGACTTATGTAATACTACGAGTATAATTCTTTTACTACGAGTAACTCTTTCAATTCAACTCTCGAAAACTCGATATTAATTAATCAACTGAGCGCCAGCGCTCTTTCCTGGAGTAAAATCTGGCGTTAAGGAGTAAAGTCTGGCGTAAAGCCTGGAGTAAAGTCTGGCGTTAGGCAGAGTAAAAATGCAACTTAATGGGTTAAACCTATTCCTTAACAGAACCACGGCACGGCAGTTGAAGCTGTAGAAGCAGCAGTACGTGTTTTGGAGGACAATGGATATTTTAATGCAGGATATGGGTCGTTATTGAACAATGAGGGTGAAGTGGAATGCGATGCAATGATTATGGAAGGACACACGTTAAATTGTGGTACAATGGACCATTTGCACTACAGACTAGATTTTGATCTAAACAAGTCCAGACAAAAGTTCATCATAGCTTGAAAGAGCATCACAAAATTAGTAATATTCCAAAGTTTCGTTGCGAAATGTTGTAAAATGCGGATAATATAGCCTTGCGAAGTTTGCAATTTTCAGTCATTTTAGATTGCAAACGGGAAATTGACAGCCCAATACCCTTTGGGGCTGTCAATTTCCAGTGCGTAATACAAAATGACTGAAAAACGGCAAACTTCGCAAGGCTATATTAGCCACATTTTACAACATTTCGCAACGAAACTTTGGAATATTACAAATTTTGTGATGCTCTTTCAAGCTGTGATGAAATTTTTGTCTAGATCAAGATTTAGTCTATAATGCAAATGGTCCATTACGTTTATAATTTATATGCTGATAACCATTGTTCGTAGCCCTAGTTATGTTCTGTAGTCACTGCGTTTTCTTCTCACGAAGTAATTCTTCATTATAGTACAAGTGTGCCGAAAGAGAAATATCAGTAAAAATCAGGTTTCTCCCATGTGCAAGAGATTCACTATATTTCACAACTTTATTACAGATTTTCATTATCGTTCTTGGAATAAATTATAGTACAGATCATTAAAAAATAATTGGCGAGGGCCGTGAAGTTATCAGTGTGATTTTTACTACTGTAAAATGTTACTCTGCCTAAATAAAGCCTATTAGTATTATTATTATTAATAACTTGTCTTGGTTTGTGGACAGTAGCCCATTGTATAATTTACGCATGATACATAACTTCGCTGGCGGAGGTATGCAGACTTCGAGTACGTTGATACAGTCATTCGCATCCGATCTTTAAACTCTCGCCTTCGGCTTGAGTTTGTATATAGATAAAGATCGGCTGCTCATGTTTTAACTTGTACTTAAATCATTAGGTGCAGTGATCTGTGGACGTCAGTTCCTTAACCCTGTTTCACTCTCCAAAATGATCATGTACGAATCACCTCATTGTGCCTTAAGTGGAGATGGAGCTCTGGAATTTGCACGACAAAAGGAATTTCCAATTTGTCAACCCGAAGAATTGATCAGCGGACCGGCCAGAGAGAAAGTAAAAGTTAGTTACGGGAATTATCTGGATTATGTAAAGTATTACTATGAGGGTAAACCAATAGATGAAGAGACACGTGACACTGTATCAGCTGTTGCCATGGATACTGACGGTCATGGAGACACTGTATCAGCCGTTGCCATGGATGCCAATGGTCATTTGGCGTGCGCGATGTCAACTGGTATGTGTTAGTCTTTTTCATTTGGATTTCAGAACATCTGTTTTTAAAAACTTACAAATGGTATAATAATGTGATGATGAATCAACGAAATTGTTATCAAAAACAGCATGACGATTATAATTATTATCATCGTCATCAGCAATAATCTACTAAACAGTGGCGTAACGTACTTTGTGCTAAAGGGCGGACGGCTTTGCAATAAGGCCCCAGGTCCTGCCCATTTAAAGTGGCGGCGGGGGGAGGGGGGGGGGAGGGTTTGCTACGCCATAAGGATTCCATATTTCCGGAATACATCAACTTCATCACTTTGTCAACCTTGTTTATGGCGCACATAATTGATTTGGGCCCCTAGTTTGAGCCAAGTTAAACAACAACAACAACGACAACGACAACTACAACAATAACAACAACAACAACAACAACAACAACAACAACAACAACAACAACAACAACAACAACAACAGCAACAGCAACAGCAACAGCAACAACAACAACAACAACAGCAACAGCAACAACAACTTAACAACAACAACAACAACAACAACAACAACAACAACAACAACAATAGCAACAACAACAACAACAAACAACAAACAACAACAACAACAACAACAACAACAGCAACAGCAACAGCAACAGCAACAACAAGAACAACAACAAGAACAACAACAAAAAGATAAGAAACAAGAAATAACAGCAACAACAATAAGAGCGCAACAGTAACAACATCAACAGCAGCAACATCAACCATAACAATGCAGCAGCGGCGACAACGACTGCAGCAACAACAACAACGACAACAACAGCAACAACAACAGGAATGTATGTAAGAACAACAATAACAGAAAACACATTTTTATTTTCCTTTAGGTGGTATAGTAGGAAAATTTAAAGGTCGTGTCGGGGATGCCCCGTTCATTGGTTGCGGAGGTTATGTAAATAGCATAGGAGGAGCAACAGTAACTGGATTCGGAGAGTCAATAATGAAAGTGACTTTGGCAAGAGATGTTGTTTATAGTATGGAAAATGGACAGAATGCACAGGTTGGGTTTCTAAATTTGCATTATAATGCCACTATTAAACATTCAAAAAGTAGATAGGAACTAGCTGGTGCCTATACAGTACTTTCCGCATTCAATTATATATATTGAAACACAAAATGGTTTTACTGTCTTAAGAATCTGCCTTTTTCAAATGTTTGTCGTTTTTCTTTTGGGTTTTTCATACAGTGCTGTGGTACTGTTGTTGAGTTAATTGAAATTTGTGACACATACTTCACAGTCTAATTTTTGACAATGTTGAAAGGTTTCGATTCATCGTAGAGTGGCGTCGATTTATCAGTTCTTTATTCATCTATATTAATGCTAAACGTGAATTATTTTGGTTTTGGTGATGCCCTGACTTTCAACCAGGTTGAAACGCCATCAACACCCTGAAAACATCATTTGTGAGCCACTATTTTTATTATCCATGGTAATACTGTTTCGACCTGCTGCAAAACAGCAAAGAAAATTGTGATTACGCACCATGCAAGTGTGTAAATATCCATTAGAGAGGTTAAGATACCCCGCTTCCGGTTTACGGGTACGGGTGATATACACGTACCCGTACCCGTAAATCGGGGAACGACTTGTAACTTAAGAAATCCAAGATATTCCGCCGTGAGAAAACCAATGAGAGAATAGTAACTTTCACTGTTGAGGTTCGCCATAGATTGTTGAAAACTTTGACGAGCATATGTGCATCATTTATTTGGGTAAGATGTTGAAGTTTTTTACTATTTAAATGGCCCACAAATAGTAAACAGAAAACACCCCCGTACCCGTTTGTCTTTTACGTGTAGACCATGGTTTACCGCGGGAGAAACGGGTAGAAATTACGGGTAAAAATGCAGACATCAGCAAAATTGGTAAAAAAAATGGCGATACTCGTACCCGTAAACCGGAATCGGGGTATCTTAACCTCTCTATTATCTCAATGTTGCACGTACTGATCGACTGATTCAAATAGTCGTGGAAAGTGTGCGTGTGTCGGAGAGAAGGGGTAACCCCCCTCCCCAATATTCGTTCATGAGTACTTTCAGGTAAGGTTAAGTGACATACGCTGATTTTCCAGTTAAAGTAGGAATACCAGATTTTTCTTGCATTTCTTGACTTTCCGAGGGACAAAATATTCAAAATTTTCCCTTAAAGAGTATTTCCTCGACCTCCTTTGTATGTCGTTAGTAGATTTACCTCCGTGTTTGATTGTGCCAATACATTCTTTCCAATGAAACACCAGCTACTTCAATCTACTCATTAGAAAAACCACACTAAATTTCAATAACTTTTTAGGTAATATAAAACGTAATGTAAAAAGCCAAGCGTTCTTGGACGCCTACCCCCCCCCCCCATCCCCAAAGTCTTCTCTACATTCCAGACGGTAATTGTTGGAAAAATTGCCTTTCACTTCCCTAATAACTAATTAAGTAATGAGGAGCTCACGCACAGAAGATTATTTTTTATTAGCTAAATTTATCCCTAGGAATCTGCAGAAAATGCCTTAGAGAAAATGAAATGTCTTGTCAATGGCTACGGTGGCGTAGTTACGATTGACAAAGAAGGGAACTTTGGAAAAGCGTTCACTACACATTTGATGGTTTGGGCAAGCATCAAGGACAACACCATGGAATCTGGTATGGAAAAAGATGAAGTTGAAGTTGAGCAACTGTAAACGGTGATGCGTATATATGAGCATGCAAGATGAGGATTATGGTGATAAAGTAAAGTATATTTATTATAATAAATCGCTATTACTTTTTGAATGGATTGACTGATGTGAAAACTTGTTTTGTAAATTACATTACTGACAGTTAGAAAAGCGAAACAAATTTCTTACACGTGAGAAAAGCCGTTTCATCCTGCCAAATATACAACGAGTATAAATTCACTCCGCATGCATAGCTTGACTTAATTTGTTTATTCTACCTCAATATAATCTGAATATAAACTTTATTATTTTGTCGCTTTATATCGATTTTTATTGTTTCTGAATTGCATACTTTGTACAGGAGATTGTACTAACATTATTTTATTGAAATTTGTCTTAGTGTGATTTCATATCGTTCACTATAAGTAGACTATAAGTCTAAAGGCAACGTCAAACATATAAAAATGGTTTGTTAAACCGTCTGTACTATATAACTCAATTGTGACTTAAAAATGGAAGAGAGTATCTGTAAATATATGAAAATATTTATTTTTGTACCAATGAAAGTATTTGATTTTGGAAAGTGGACAAAAACAGGAAAGAATAAAAGTTAACCCCTTAATTTTTGTCCAATTTTGTCATTTTTGAAAAATGAAGATGTTAGCTTCTATACTAAAGGGGTCAGCGCTGCAAAGCGGGCTAGCCCGGTCAATGTGAACGGGTCCCGTAAACGGGTTATTGTTTGCATTAAATTGCATTAAAGACAATAGCAAGCTTTAAATTTATTATTTAGCATAAAAGATTGAAGAATGAAAACAATTTCCAGTGAAAACGTGAATTAATAGTGCTTTGAATATCTTTGTCGAACCATAACTCGTATACATAATCATGCATATAACATTACAAGTTTTCTGCCCTCTGACGTTAGGACTTCAAATATCACAGAGGCCAAAACCAATACACTGACGAGACCATTTCGCTAATGTTTGATCGAGCAATATTAAAGCAAGTATTTCAATGTATCGTAAGAAGTACATAACATATTCATGTAGATTTAGCGTGAAGTATTTCCGTATTTGGGAATTAAACCTGTAAATCATGCAAATATTTCTTACGGGTGTAACAGGTTACGCCCATGAACCCAGTTAATGTGTCTAATGACTATTATGTTTTGCGCCTAGAAAATGCAATCATTTTGTAAAACAACACCTACACTTCACAGAGTATGAAAACAGAATGAAATATCTGTCTTTAATTTAATTTTGTATAATGATGCGTACGACAAACGTAGCTTATATGAGTATTATATGACATTTATAGTACGCTAGCGTTGATTGATCTAGAAATGTGTTTCTTCTATATAACTGCAGAAACACGGACAATTTCCCACCTTACGCCTTACAATTTTAAAACGTAAACAAAACAATTTTAATATACACGCTACAATCGAAAAAATGTTTGATAATACTATAGTCTCGACACAGCACCCCTAGTTTTAATAGTAACTGCAAGAGCAGGTGCGTCGGCGCCGGTGCCCAATGTTATGCATGCTAAAAATGTCCTATGTGTCCTGGTGTTGCTGTGGTGAAATTGACGAGAAAATGTCACCTTATGCGATTTTCAGGTTCATGTAATGAGAATTTGAAACGTAATCGATTTTAAAAAGTTGATAAAATCTTTTTCGTGATTTATATTACAAAAGTAATAGAAAAATCATCCCTCTCTTTCCATGCAGTTATAGAAACTGTTGTGGTAGCTTGGGAGAAATTGAAATAACGTGTAAAAACTCGACTTACGGGCTCGTTTTCCGCTGTTTATTTCTAGTTCTCCCAAACCCCCAAAGCCCTACGGGTGTTTAAAATAAAACTGTACTGTATATACAAATCTATATATAAATGTCTTCGTTTCTTACATAATCACAGGAGGAACGTCTGGAACTGACTTGTGATGGAAAGCACGTAAGTATATTAAAGGGGAGGAGGGTAAGGTTGAGTTGGAATAAAAGTGTTAAAATGAGTTGCACAGGCATCACACAAAC